ATATTGAAATAATATTAAAATATGATAATTGAGTATATGAATTAGGCAGAAAAAAATCACACAGTATAAATGTCAAAAATTATAACAATGCTTAAATAATACAATATTGAATAAAAATTCCCAAAAAACATAAATGAATCAAAAATTGCATGGTAGAGACGGTAACATAAGAGAGATTCAAGTTAGAGAAAATTAAGTTACAAATAAATATCATAGAAAGAGTCTAAATACAATGGATTAGTTACGCAAGATTAAATTCGCAAATGTTTCGATCTAATCCAGATCATTTTCAATGCGACAATAATAATAATATCGAAAGTGCAAATAAATTACAATGATGATATAGAAAAGATAATTATAAATAATACTGGTCGCTCGCAACGAATAGCAAAAAGATTCTGTAATACAAGGTGAAACGCTCAAGTAAACAATCATGGTCAATATCAATAATACATACATATGAGATAAATACACGCATATTAGCTTTCGAAATTTATAATTAAGAAATAAAAGAATTAAGTTCTTAGATAGCGAGAAATAGCCGTATAAATGTCCGCAAGCCTGCATGCTACTCACCAATGTGCAACACAAGATCGTGGCTGTGTAGAAAAAAGCGTGATGAGAAAAAAGATGGTATACGAGTAGAGGACAGAGATACCGCATACGTTCCACACTCTGTATATCGTTGAAAAGATTCCTTATTATGCATTAACAATTCATGCCAAAGCCAGAATAATTATAATCTGAAAAATAAAGCAAGCAGAGCAACACGCATTCTCGCAAGATACCGCAACAGCAATAAAAAATTAGAAGTAAAGAAAAGATAGAAAAATTTTTGAGAGAATAATTAATACAAAAAAAAATGAAATTTTTAAGGAAAAGTTACATACAAGCAATTATGAAATGTTGAAAGGATCGCAGTGAGAAAAAGCAGAGCAGAATTATCGCAAGACACAGGAGACGTGTACACCAAACGAGACGACGAAATGTACTGAGACGCGTGATAATGAGAGCCAGGCATGCCAATCCGATGGAGAGGGAAAGGGAGAGGAAAAGGGGAATTCAGGAACGGATGATGAAGATAAAAATGGAAATTGATATGGGAATTAAAAATGTGAAGATTTTATAATAGGAAGATAAACTTTGTCAAATTTCTCCGTATCTTTCTGAACGTTGAGACCATTGCTCTGTCATATAATATGGATCATTTCAGAGGTGGTTTTTCTGAGAAAAGAAGCATCTTGATCCAAAACCTCGACATCATTTGAAAATTTTGTCACGGACAAAATTTTCAAATTGTCACATCCGAGATATCATGAGAAGAATTTCGATATCATCTCTGAGATCCTTTCCAGCAATGGTTATCCGGATAATTTCATTTTTAATACCATCACAAGCAGAGTCAAACTCCTGATTCATAATCAATTCATAATCTATTCCTCCCCCCGCATCCGCCCCCCTTCTATCTCCCTCTTCCACTCAATCATTTTTCGTTATTCCGTACATCAAGGGAGTTTCAGAACATTTTAGAGACATTGCCTGCAAACTTAACAAATCTTTGGCCCATGTGGTCTTGAATAAATTGAACTGTTTTATTAAAACGCATAAAGATCCTCTCTCAAGGAATTGTCACTCAAATGTAGTATATAAAATCTCTTGTTCTGATTGCTCAGCATCGTATGTAGGACAGACGAGTAGAATGATCTCGACTCGTATCCATGAGCATCGATCCAACATTGATCGACCCTCCGAACATCTATCTGTCTTATCTCAACATATACTTACAGGACTGATATAATAACTAACTATGATATAATAAAATTTTTACACGTAATTTATTCTCTCTCCTTGATTTACATCACCCTCGTCTCTCCTCGATTTGCGACGAATTCCCTCCTCTTCGAAATAAATCTAATATACATCGTATATTATACATTATACATATAAAATCGTACGTTATATAAATCGTACTTTATATTGTCACGTCCAGGCCCGAGGAAGGATGGGCCGAAGGAAGGGCGTAACACGTGTATCCCGAGAACAGGTGCCTTAAGGGCAAGTGTCTCAGGTCGAGCGAGCCTGCGAGTGAGCCAAAGATAGGTCAACGACCACAAGAGTCGATTTTACGCTATTTCTGGTCCAAATGCCCGCTCGTCGGTCCTCTTTTCGGTAAAGGAACTTAATCCTTTTTACCCGGGACGGGACCAAGTGCGATTCAGGAGCGTGGGTAACGAGGGGGGGAATTGATTAAGTTGAAGTTAAAAGAAATAAAATTAATTTAATTTATTGTACATTACAAAAAGATAAAATTTACATAAACATTTTAATTAGTTATTACTCTAGCACAATATTAAGTGTGATTGTTTGTATGTTTGTGGGTACATTAAGCGTGATTGTGTGTGTATGTGAGACGGGGTGAGGTTGGTCGGAATCTGGAGGATATCTTTCCCTGAAGAATTCTACGGGAATAGCGATGGGGTATCTGGTGAAGGGAGTAAAGCAAGGTATGGGAATGTTGGAAGGAGCGGTGCGGAGAAAGGCCTTGAGAGTTGGAATATGAATAAGGCCAGGGCCCAAGGTGAATTGACCCGGGAGGATGGGGTGAAAGTACAGAGGGTAAGTCAAGCTGAGAATTTCGGAGAGGATCCGATCACTAAAATCGATGTCGGAGTAAACAGGGGGAGGAAGAGGAGGAGGAGACAAGAGATGAGGATCTGGGACTGGCGAGTGGGGTGGAGAAGGAGGAGGTGATAACTGTGGAAATCAGGTTGTGTGTCATACACTGGGGAATAGTTTGGCGGAAGAGTTCCCGGAGACAGGTACGGGGAGTAGTTAAGGGTAGGAGTACGAGGGGGCGGATGTGAGGAGTCTCGCGTGTCTCCTTGAAAATTATTTAAAAAGATCCGTGTAATAGGGAGATCCGTGTTAATTTGACTTAAATCTAGTGCGAATGAAGAGTCGACCGCAGCAGTCGGCGGGTACGTCGATTACGGCGGTATCGAAATCGCTTAGCGTGGGCTCTAGCGGATTTCCTCGTGGGTTCCACTAGGGAAACGATTATTATAAGTAAAGGAAGTAGACGGGGGAGGGGGAGGAACTTTGAAGATAAAAAGAAAAGACTTACTATTTGAAAAACCGTGGACAAATCGATACGAATTATCGCTGGACCCCCTTGGCGTTGAGGATGGCGAGATATTAGCTGAATTGATAGTTGTTGAAGAGGGTGGTTGCTGCTGGGCCCCCTTGGTGTAGGTTTTTGCACTGACTCGATACGAAGGTTGATATGTCTCGAAACTTTTGAGTGCGCATATGAACGCGTGAGTCAATGAATGAATTTCTGACTGAACGAATTTTTCTGAGGAGTGTTGTTCGAAGTTCGCGCTTATATATCGTTTTGGATTACCCTCTCCTAGCGTGAGGAATAAGGGAGGTTGACGAATAGAAATCTTTGTTAGATTTCCATGGTCTCCTCTCTGCCCCTACTTATGCTACATTTTAGAACAAATGTAGCAAATCAGGATTTTATTATGTTCGTTCGCGAATAGGAGAGCATCTTCCAAAACGGGGGATTTAGGATTCTCAGTATCGCACAAGGGATGACTGTTACTACCCTCTTGCGATATTCGGTCACTCACGTTTTATGATTAGTTTCCTTTATTTTTTGATTTTATGAGTTTTTAAGAAAATATTGAATTGTTTGACTGAATGCCGCTTTATTTAACCGGATGCTACTTTTATAGCCTGTTAACATCCGATTGTTATTTTAGGACATGTACTGAGCATCCCGCTTTAATCTAGCTATTATTATCGGCTCTAGAAATCGTGTACGTGTGCACCGGATACGGGAAAGAAAAGAATCGTAACATCCGATATCCGATCACTCGCATTTTATGATTAGTTTTCTTTATTTTTAATTTTATGAGTTTTAAGAAAATATCAAATTTGTTTGACTGAATGCCGCTTTATTTAGCCGGATGCTACTTTTATAGCCCGTTAATATCCGATTGTTGTTTTAGGGCATGTACTGAGAATCCTGCTTTAATTTAGCTATTATTATCGGCTCTGGAAATCGTGCACGTGTGCACCGGGTACGGGAAAGAAAAGAATCGTAAATTCCCCTGGACGTAACAATATAAATCGTATATTATATCTCTTTCAGGCTTACGTCAAACACATCCGTTCTATTATTAACGTCGATTCTATCTCTATCTCGCGCGTCGTGTCCGACGGGGCGATTCCTGCTTATCGCGCGCGCCTAGCGCGCCGCGTCCAGAGACTCTTCGACGCATCGTATCCAGGGACGCGCGCGCGCCGTAACTAGGGACGCGCGCGCGTCGTAACCAGGGACGCGCGCTCTCTTTCCCTCTCCCTCGCTCTCTCGCACTCTCCCTCGCTCTTTCGCACTCTCCCTCGCTCTCGCGCCGAACCCCTCCTCCGACCGCTCCCCCTCGCCCCGCCGCCCCCTCGCCCTCCCCTCCGCGTGACGTCACAACCCTCCGTTTACCCATCCGACGGCGAGCGGCTCCCCTCGTCCTACCTACCCCCCCCGCTCACCCGCGCCACTGTCACCCTGCCCCTCAGATATCTTTCTATCTCCCTCGCTCTACGAGACCTCTCTCTCGCACCCGTGGAAAAAGCGGGTTAGAACCGATCTATTCTCCCTACTACCCGCGCTTGCTTGAATTCCTTCACGTTGACATTCAGAGCACTGGACAGAAATCACATTGCGTCAACATCCGCGAGGGCCATCGCAATGCTTTGTTTTCATTAGACAGTCGGATTCCCCTAGTCCATGCCAGTTCTGAGCTGAGCGTTGAATGGCGGCCGAAGAAAACGACCACGACGGCTCGCGCTGCCACGGAAGCCTTGCAGCAAGGAAAATCCGCGGGAAGCCAAGGCACGGGACCGAGTTCGGATCCCGGGACCGATGCGAGAACGCTGACCGTTCACCTTGCCAGGCCCGGCACGTCAGCCAGACCCACTTCCCGATCAAGCCCGACACGCCCCGCTCCTCAGAGACAATCCTTATTCCGAAGTTACGGATCCAATTTGCCGACTTCCCTTACCTACATTATTCTATTGACTAGAGGCTCTTTACCTTGAAGAACTGCTGCGGATATGGGTACGAACCGGCGCGACACCTCCACGTGACCCTCTTCTGGATTTTCAAGGTCCGAGGGGAAGATCCGGACACCGCCGCAACTGCGGTGCTCTTCGCGTTCCAAACCCTATCTCCCTGCTAAAGGTTTCCAGGGAACTCGAACGCTTATACAGAAAAGAAAACTCTTCCCGGATCTCCTGACGGCGTCTCCAGGTCATTTTGGGTTACCCCGACGAACACTCTTACGAGGGCCCGAATTGTATGCGGTTCCGCTGCCGGGTTCCGGAATAGGAACCGGATTCCCTTTCGCCCGACGGGCGTGTGTCATTATATACATCGTAATAATAATATATGTGTCAATAATGAAAGGAAGTACGCGCGCGTGTGGCGGCGTTTCTATCTTTTTCTTCTCTTTACACACACATATATATACAGGGTGGGGCATTTATCTTGAGACAAGATAATATCTCGATTGGAGTCGATTATTTTGAAAAAAGTTTTAGACAAAAGTTGTAGGGCATTAAAGAGGCTATCGAAAGGTCCATATTACAACGTCCGGTTCTAGACCGGAAGTGGTGTTTTTTGATCAGAATTCGTTTTTTTAAATGGAAACACCCATTTTTTGCCGCGGATTTCGATTGGAAATCGAAAAGAAAAATACTTTTTGTTCTTATTATTTTTTCGATTTAACCCATATTTTGGCCATAAAAAACAAAAAAACAAAAATCTTGAGATAACGGAGTACTTTGTTGGAGTTGTGTCCAGGAGGCCAAAACACTTTGGATAGCATATATCACATGTAAAGTACAGACTACTTTTTCATGGGGTGGTGATTTTTAATCTAAACTTAATAAACTAGAAAAAGATTTAACGGATTACTTTGAAAAGGCATAATTGACATTTTTTTGTATTTTCGTTTTCTTTTTTCGTGAGTTTTTAAATTTAATATAGGGGATATTTACCCCATTTCATTTATCCTAATTTTTTTTCTGAAATCAGATTATCTTTTCAAATTTTGTCAGTGCAAAACTTTTTTTAAAATGGAGGCTGTTTCTGTAGAAGAGAAGATAGAAATGATTCTTATTTATGGTGAATGTGGTAGAAATGTAGACGATGCCGTAACACTTTATGCTGAACGTTTTCCGGATAACGTGCGATCTCGAGCATCTTTTTATCGGGTTGTTACACAATTTCTACAAGAGGGAAGTGTGTCTAAGAGAAAAAGAGCCCGTCGAAACCTAGTTACTGGAACTGACAATGAAATTGCTGTATTTGCTACAGTAAATGTTGACCCTCATGTCAGTACTCGATAAATTGCACACGATTCTGGAATTTCGCGACGTAGTGTAGGCAGGATATTAAAACGTTATAAATATCATCCCTATCACATTTTGTTGCACCAAGAACTTCATGATAATGATTTTCAGAACCGAGTTATCTTTTGTCAATGGGCATGTCAACAAATACAACAAGATCCTAATTTCTTTGCTAAAGTTCTATTTTCAGACGAGTCCTCTTTTACGAACCACGGCACGGTTAATAGACATAACATGCACTACTGGAGTATTCAAAATCCACATTGGTTACGTGAAGTTGAGCATCAGCGTCAATGGTCTGTGAACGTTTGGTGTGGAATAGTTGGTGACAAGATAGTAGGTCCATACTTCATTGAAGGCAATTTAAACGGTGAAACATATCGTAATTTTTTACAAAATCAACTTCCGCTTTTACTTGAGGACGTACCCTTAAATGTAAGACAACAAATGTGGTTTCAACACGATGGATGTCCATCCCATTACTCCCGAACTGCTCGTGAAGTTTTGGATCGCGAATTCAATGGACGCTGGATCGGTAGAGGGGGTCCAGTAAATTGGCCAGCAAGATTTCCAGACCTTACGTCTCCAGACTTTTATTTATGAAGTTATATAAAGAGCGAAGTTTACAAAGAAGTGCCAACATCTCGTGAAAATATGATGCAACGAATCCGAAATGCTTGTGCCAAAATATCACCTGATGTACTCCGCAGTTGTGTACGATCTATGGAAGTTCGGATCAATAAGTGCATTGAAGTCGAAGGTCGCCAATTTGAGCACTTATTAAATTAAATTAATTTCAAACAGATAAGACAATCATACCAAATTGTGAGAGGCAAGGGGACTCACCTAAAACAAGCACCCCAAAGGGGATAAAAAACTACTACGTCCACGTCGTTATTCCTGGGTAGTGCTAAAAGTAGTTAATAGTTGTACAGTTTTTCAACCTTAAAGTTAAAAAAGGGATTCCAATAAGGTACTCCGTTATCTCAAGATTTTTGTGTTTTTTTGTTTTTTATGGCCAAAATATGGGTTAAATCGAAAAAATAATAAGAACAAAAAGTATTTTTTTTTCGATTTCCAATCGAAATCCGCGGCAAAAAAATGGGTATTTCCATTTAAAAAAACGAATTCTGATCAAAAAACACCACTTCCGGTCTAGACCGGAAGTTGTAATATGGACCTTTCGATAGCCTCTTTAATGCCCTACAACTTTTGTCTAAAACTTTTTTCAAAATAATCGACTCCAATCGAGATATTATCTTGTCTCAAGATAAATGCCCCACCCTGTATATACACGGTGGGCCATTTTAATCGATGCACTCAAATATCTCGAAAACAGCACTCTTCAGAAAGAAATGTTTCAAACAAACATTGTAGGGTGTGAAGGGGGACATAAGATGGTAGCATTGGTTTGACCTTGGAAAGTCATTTGAAGGTCACATAAAAGTCACCTTCAATTTCTTAAATTGAACTCACTATTTTTCATTACATATTCTTGTAGCTTATCTCGAGAGCTTTCCAAAACACTACAGACAAATGTTTTTTCATTAAGTACTTTTTGAGTTATAAGGCTTCAAAGTTTGCAGTACTTCGATATAAAATGCAAAATATCTCGTAAAATATTTAGTTTTCGATAGTCTTACCCTAATACTTTTATGCACAGGATAATGAGACAAAACTATTGGTGCAAAGAAAACGCATGATTGTTTATAACAAAAAGTGCATTGCAAATTACACATTTTTTATCATAAACAATCATACGTTTTTTTTGCACCAATAGTTTTGTCTCATTATCCTGTGCATAAAAGTATTAGGGTAAGACTACCGAAAACTAAATATTTTACGAGATATTTTGCATTTTATATCGAAGTATTGCAAACTTTGAAGCCTTATAACTCAAAAAGTATTTAATGAAGACATTTGTCTGTAGTGTTTTGGAAAGCTCTCGAGATAAGCTACAAGAATATGTAATGAAAAATAGTGGGTTCAATTTAAGAAATTGAAGGTGACTTTTATGTGACCTTCAAATGACTTTCCAAGGTCAAACCAATGCTATCTTATGTCCCCCTTCACACCCTACAATTTTTGTTTGAAACATTTCTTTCTGAAGAGTGCTGTTTTCGAGATATTCGAGTGCATCGATTAAAATGGCCCACCGTGTATATATATACGAGGGTAGTTCGAAAAGTTCTCGGCCTGGCAAAGAAAACACATGATTTCCAGCAAAAATCTTTTTTATTTTTCAACATAGTCCCTTTTCAACTCAATACATTTAGACCAACGATGTTCTAATTTTTTTATACCCTCAGTATAATACGATTTGCTTAAGCTTCCAAAATAAGCATCCGTCTCAGCGATGACCTCCGCATTTGACGTGAATTTTTTTCCAGCAAGCCATTTTTTCATATTCGGAGACAAAAAGAAGTCACTGGGAGCTAAATCTGGCGAGTACGGTGCGTGTGGTAACAATTCGAAACGCAATTCATGGAGCTTTGCAACTGCAATTGAAGACGTGTGAGCGGGTGCATTGTCGTGATGGAAAAGCACTTTTTTCTTTGCCAAATGAGGACGTTTGGTTTTAATAGCATCGTTCAATTGCTCCAGCAATGCTGCATAATATTCCCCATTGATGGTTTTGCCTTTTTCTAGATAATCTATGAACACCACACCTTGCGAATCCCAAAAAACAGTCGCCATGACTTTTCCGGCTGATGGAACTGTTTTTGCCTTCTTTGGAGCACTTCCACCCGCTTCCACCCATTGTTTTGATTGTTATTTCGTCTCTGGCGTGTAATGGTGAATCCATGTTTCATCGACAGTGATAAATCGTCGCAGAAATTCGGTTGAATTGCGTTTAAACAAGTCCAAGCACTCTTGAGAAATGTTCGTTCGAATGCGTTTCTGATCGACCGTTAACAAACGCGGCACCCATCGCGCTGAGAGCTTTCTCATATGCAAATGTTCATGTAAGATATTGTGAACACGATCTATTGAGATGTTTGCAATGTTAGAAAGCTCACGCACTTTTACTCGTCGATCATTTAACACGCTATCGTGGATTTTTTGAATGATTTCCTCATTCGTGGCGGTTTTCGGGCGACCCGAACGTTCATCGTCAAAGATGGATGAACGGTCACGTTTAAATTCAGCAGCCCATTTCTTCACTGTTGAAAATGATGGAGAAGAGTCTCCCAAAGTGGAATCCAGCTCGTTTTTTATTTCTGTTGCCGTTAATCCTTTTAAAACGAAATATTTTATGACTGCGCGATATTCAATTTTATCCATTTTTGGAGAAGTATCAAATCTTGTCTGTTTTACTCGAGCACAGTAAACAAACTAGCGAACGAATCTGTCTGAAACTGTGCGGTACGCCCTCTGAGGGATTAAACTTGAGAAAAATCATAACCATTTGATATTCTTAGCAACATCTCTATATTAGGCCGAGAACTTTTCGAACTACCCTCGTATATATATATATATATATATATATATATATATATATATATATATCTTTGTTTTCGACACTCGAGTATATTGTACGCCGTCATTGACATAGGATTTCTCCTAGAGCTTAGGATCGACTAACTCGTGTGCAACAGCTGTTCACACGAAACCCTTCTCCACATCAGTCCTCCAGGGCCTCGCTGAAGTATTTGCTACTACTACCAAGATCTGCACCGACGGCGGCTCCAGGCAGGCTCACGTCCAGACCTTTCTGCGCTCGCTGTCGCGACCCTCCTACTCGTCAGGGTTTCGTGACGACTCGAGGGAGATGATTGCCTCGCGAGGGAGCCGCAAACGCGGTCCGACGCGCGCAACGTTCCCGTCGCCGCCCCACTTGCCGCTGACGGCAGAGTATAGGCTCGACGCTTCAGCGCCATCCATTTTCAGGGCTAGTTGCTTCGGCAGGGTTGAGTTGTTACACACTTCTTAGCGGATTCCGACTTCCATGGCCACCGTCCTGCTGTCTTAAGCAACCAACGCCTTTCATGGTGACCCATGAGCGTCGAGTTGGGCGCC